GACAATTCATCGTTGAAAAGTCAACCTTTTCTTTTTTTCTTTTTTTTTCGAGAAATCAAAGGAATGAAAGACTGCATTCTCATTGATATTTATTTTACGTTATTTATTTTACGTTATTTATTTTACGTTATTTATTTTCTTTATTGATCGACTCGTAGGCGCAGTTCCCTCTGAGGAATTCACGCGTCGTTCCCGTTCCAAAATTCCCACTTAAAAAAATTTTACTGGGTTAATTTTCCTCGCGCTTTCATCCAATTTTAAATTTTTTTTAAATCGCCATTCGCATTAAATTTGGATCGATTAATGAAATTCCAATCGGAAGTGCAACGCAAATAATTTATGCATACTTCCACCCAGTACCTGCCCGAATCAGTACCGCGTGACGGGCTTTCCCTTCTCGTCCGAGCGTTAGGGAAATCGTAACGGTTGCTGTCGCCTGCCATCTAACGGCGCGGGACGGAACCTGCGAGACGAACGGGGCCCCTTAACGACTGCAGATGTCGATTTTGCTCGTCTATTGTTGGTGACTTTCCCTTATCCACTTTTTTTCAGGGGACATTGTGCAAAAAATGTGGATCTCGTTGTTATGTCGTGGGTGTGCCTACGGTTGACGCACGTTTTCTTTTTTGCACGATCCCAATCGAAATACGTAAATCCATCTGTCAGACTTTTCACATTCTGCTTCGTCTGTCTGATTCATGGGCTTTTAATATAATTCGTAATTGAAAATGATAAGGTAACCCAGGTAGCGCATAACATTGATTCAACGTTGATTAGGTGTGGATTGAATGTATCACTGTCGTTACATCCACGTTACATCCACGTTACATCCACGTTACATCCACGTTACAACCACGTTACAACCACGTTACATCCACGTTACATCCACGTTACATCCACATTGGGCCAACATTCAATGCTGAAGTATCTGCAGCAAATGTTTTTTTTTAATGCTTACTCCATCAGCCGATCTACCAGGAAATATTCCTTTCAACGTTCGATTTATAGCGAATAAGATTGTGACTGAAAGGCACTCAAATTCCATCGCATTAAGCAAGTAGAATGGCATTTTCGGCTCGCATAACTAGAACCAAGGTATTTACTCACTGAGTCAGACCTATTTTCGTGCCGGTGCCGGTGCCGGTGCCGGTGCCGGTGCCGGTGCCGGTGCCGGTGCCGGTGCCGGTGCCGGTGCCGGTGCCGGTTCCGGTGCCCAAAGGACGGGCGAAGCGAGGAAAAAAATGATGCGAGGGTGTGAACGCAGCTGGGCATCGGGCCTCCTGTCTCACTAAAAGCCACTCTCTCCCAGACAAAAACGTCGATTGGATTGTTTTAGCCGTATTATAGGAACCGGCGGAGGAAAGTAGCGGTAAAAAACCGGAAAATCGTTGCATCTCCGTTCACGTTTTATACTTTTGCAAGGGATGTGTCGCTAAATGCTTTGCAGCGACGCTAAATGCAAACTGCAGCGACGGGTAGCAAGCTAACCCCTGGCAGCCTCATGGAGGGACAGACAGACAGGCTGGACAGGACCAAAAGCCGTCTCTATCATTTCAAAGAGGCCTACTGATCAGGATCATATGGCTTCCAATAAGGCCTATTTGAATTTATAGGCGATTTCTTCTACAGGCCACAATT